CTTTACTACGTAAGTCTGGCGAGGAGCAAGCCCGCTACAAACGGAGGTGGAATCTGAGGATGAATGGTCTGCCTGAAAAAGAAGGAGAAAACACAAGAGAAGCTGTGATCGGGATACTCACAAGAGTTGTTCCGCTGTCTGTGGAGAAGCTGCGTGACTCAGTGGACACTGTCCATCGGCTGGGTATGAAGGGTAATGCAGCTACTTCCAACAACACACCGCGGTCAATCATCATTCAGTTCGGGATGAGGACTGTTCGTGACGAGATCTGGAAAAAGTCCAAAGATGCGAGAGTCTGCAGCGAGATGCACATTCGTTTCAAAGAGGATTTCTCCAAGGAGGACCGGGAGGCTCGCTCCAAGCTGTGGCCACTGGTTCAAGAAGCCAGGAGAAAGGGGAAGAGAGCCTTTTTGAAGGAAGGCTTCGCGCTGATTGACAACAAAAGAGTGGACCCGGAATAAAGTGAAAAACACCGCAGTAATTAACTGGAAGGACAGGGAGCAGGTTTTCTGTCCTCAGTAGGTATGCTGAAGTTCTCAGTTTGAGTGTTTGATTGGACTTGTCTCAGGTTATATTCAAAATGTTGTGAGCTATTGCACTAAATATGTTTGTTAAGGGCTACGTTACTCACTCCTGCGCATCGATATAACATTCCTTTGCGCATTTTCTTAAAGATTCTATCTTTGCTCTTTCAATGTTATCTTTCATATCCTTAAATGCTAGGGGGCTAAAAAACAATGTGAAACGTAAGGCAATTTTTCTTTTTTGTAAGGAACAAAAAGCAAATTGTGTTTTTCTGCAAGAAACTCATTCTGCAGAGGCAGACACTAAGTTCTGGAAAGTACAATGGGGAGACAACATTTTTTTCAGCCATGGAACAACACATTCGGCTGGAGTGATGATTTTATTTAACAGGTTACCTGGAAATATAATTGACCACAGGAGTGATACAAACGGTCATTGGCTAATGGTTGTGACTGATGTTAATGGGTCTAATTACATACTGGTGTGTGTTTATGGGTATAACAGAAAGATTCAAAACAATAATTTTCTTTCAATCTTGTGCCAAAAATTAGAGGAATGGAAAGCACTTTATATGACTGATAAGATTATAATCGGAGGGGATTTTAATGTAGTTCCTGATGAGTGGTTAGATCGTCTTCCTTTAAGGGGACAATGTCATAATTTTAATGATTCTATTATTCACTTGGCCTCTAAACTTAATTTAACTGATGTTTGGAGAATAAATAATCCCTCAAAATCACAATATACCTGGTTTAACTCTTCTAACAATGGTCAGTGCTCTAGGCTCGATTATTGGTTAATCTCTACTAGTTTAACTAATAATGTCTCAAAGTGTGACATTTCAGCATCACCTCTGACGGATCACTGTGTCATCTCTTTGTCCCTTTTACTATGCAACTTCAGTCCCAATCTTAACCCTATATGGAAATTCAATAATAGTCTTTTGGAGAATGCAGATTTTTGTAGAGAGATCAAACAACTGATAAAAGAAACTCTGGCTTTGGATATGTCATCTCTCAGTAAATGGGAATGGTTTAAATTTAGTGTGAGACAGATTGCGATAAAATCCTGTAAATACTCTTCTAGATTAAAGAAACAAAAACAACAAGAGATGACAAGTGCAATTAATAATTTATGCCTTAAAGCTGAGTTATCATTGGATGAGCAAATTCAACTGAACAATTTACAAACTCAATTAGACAACATGTATTTGGAAAAAGCAAAGGGAGCTTTTATTCGTTCGAGAGCCCGATGGATTGAGCAAGGAGAGAAAAACACTTCTTATTTCTTCAATCTTGAAAAGCAAAGACAAGTGAAAAAGAAAATCCAAAAACTGATTATTAATGATGTCACTATTGAAAATCAAGACCAGATAAATGAAGAAATTAGACTTTTTTATAGCAATTTATATAACTCAAAGTTTTCTAAAGAAAATTGTGATAACTTTTTTAGTAAAATTACAGAATTCAAAAAGACAATAGATTATTCTTTTAAACAGTATATGGACGATGGACTAAAAATTGAAGAATTAGATAGTGCATTACTGCAAATGTCTGGTGGCAAATCACCAGGGCTGGATGGTTTAACCATAGAGTTTTATAAATGTTTTTGGTCAGATGTGCGAGAAATGCTTTATAAGGCGTTCAGATTGCATTTCAGCAGGAAACCTTTCGCCAACCATGAAACATGGCCTTATTACCTTAATTCCAAAACCAAATAAAAATAATCTTTTGTTGGATAATTGGAGACCTATTACCCTGTTATGTAATGATTACAAACTTTTAGCACATGTTTATGCTAACAGGTTAAACTCGGGTCTGAATCAACTAATAGATGAATGTCAATCAGCCTTTATAAAGGGCAGAAGTATTCATAACCATACCAGACTGATATTGGATATGCTTGATTACCAGGAGTTTATTGATACTGAAGGTCTCGTACTATTTCTGGATTTTTACAAGGCTTTTGATACTGTTGAACATTCCTTTTTAATGGAAACTCTGACATTTCTGGGTTTTGGTGAACATTTCTGCAACATAATTAGGATGCTCTACTCGGACATTTATAGTTCTGTATCTTTGAACCCTGGAATGAGCCCTAGGTTTAAGGTTTTACGTGGTATTCGACAGGGTTGTCCTATTTCCCCCCAAATTATTTATTCTGACCACCCAAGTATTAACAACGCTTATTATAAAGAATCACAAAATATTAGGCATTACCCTCTTTGACAAAGAGTTCAAAATTAGTCAATTTGCAGATGACACATCCATTTTCCTAAAGAATAAATCCATGGTAAAGGAAACTCTTAACACAATTTCAATTTTTTCAAAAGCATCAGGGTTATCTCTTAATCTTTCAAAATGTGAATTACTCCCTATCCATTCATGTGATGATTCCACTATTGACTCTATTAGAGTGGTACCTGAGGTGAAATATTTGGGAATAACATTATCTAAAAATTATATCAGGAGAGAAGATCTTAATATTTGTAACCGTATCACAGATATGAAGAAATCTCTCAGTCGTTGGTTAACTAGAGATCTTACTATTTTTGGCAGAGTTCTTCTTACTAAAGCAGAAGGTATATCTAAACTTATTTATCCATGCCACTCATGTTTTGTCTCTTCGGCTAATATAAAAAAAGCCAACTCAATTATTTTCCAATTCTTGTGGAGAAATAAAACTCACTACATTAAAAAGTCACAGCTTGTTAAAGAATATGATAAAGGCGGAATTAAAGCTTTAGACTTTGAATCGATGATTGGAACAATTAAAATAAAATGGTTGAAAGCCTTTTTGTCCCAGCCAGAATCCATGTGGTTCCATATTCCAAAGGCCATATTTAAACGTCTAGGAGGGTTTGATTTTCTTTTAAAATGTGATTTTGAGGTTAATAAGATTCCGACCAAATTGTCAAATTTTCATAAGCAGATACTTCATTATTGGAAGATGATATTTACCCACAATTTTTCTCCTCATGGATCTACGTTATGGAACAATAGAGTGATTATCATAAACAGAAAATCCTTGTTTAGGAGTGATTGGCATGAGAGGGGTATTTTGTTTGTTAGAGATTTACTAGATTGCAATGGTAAACTGCTAGATTTTTTGGCCTTTTCAACGAAATACAATATAACGTGTACTGCTAAAGATTATAACAAAATCTGTAAAGCAATTCCTGTACCACTTATTGGAATGATTCATAATACTTTACTGTACTCAAATGTTGTATCAGTTTTACCTAATTTGGAAATTATTGGCGATACTCTTAAGAATAACAAATCTATTAATGCTTCCCTGAAATCCCACATTTTTCACAATTTTAACAGAGGCTTATTTCCTCAAGTGACCGATTTAGACACTTTATCTGTAATGGAAAAAGCTCTATCTGATTTTATAAAATGGCCTATTTCCCCTAAAGCAAAAGAAACTCATTTTAAAATTGTTCATAAAATCTACCCGGTTTCTACTTTTTTAAATTCAAGATTTAAATTTGAAGTGGAACCATGTTCCTTTTGTAATTTATCTGATGAATCGTTGGAACATTTATTTTTCTCTTGCCCCTTTTCTGAATTGTTTTGGTCGAATGTGAGAGATTGGTTGTTACTTAAATTAACAAATATTCCGGCCTTCAAAATATATCACATTTTATATTATATTGATAATTTGGACTCTCCCATTTCTGATTTGGTAAATATAATTATTATTTTGGGTAAATACCATTTACATTGTAGTAAATGGAGAGGAGGCAAGCCCTCCTTTCCCTGTTTCATAAATGAGTTCAAGTCCTTTTTTCTGTCCCTTAGAAAAATACAATCTTGTAACCTGTCTATAAAGATTTGCAATGACATTTCCAAATGGTTATTATTTTAAGTAAGCTTAATGCCTCTTAAATGTTTTTGTGCCTTTATGCTTTTTTCTTTCCCCCTGGCTCTTACTGGATGTATTAGTTATGTTTTTTTGTCTTATTGTGAATGAATGTCTTGAACTTATGTTGATAAGTTGATGATATCCTCACCGAGCTTTTGTATGTTTAAAAAAATGTTCAATAAAAAAGAAAAAAAAAAAAAAAAAAAAAAAAAAAAAAAAAAAAACACACAGCTGGGAGACCAGGGGACATTAAAGAGTGATGCGCACAGCTGGGAGACCAGGGGACATTAAAGACTGACGCACACAGCTGGGAGACCAGGGGACACTAAAGAGTGACGCGCACAGCTGGGACGGAGCGGATCAAAAAGCTGAACAACTGTCTCTGTTGTTGGAAACTTACCTAAAATGTTTTATGGTCTTATTTTAACAATGTGATCACATGACTCCTTCTGATGTTACTGCAGATCGGCTGAAAGCTAGCTAGCTAACGTGTGTGTGTGTGTGTGTGTGTGTGTGTGTGTGTGTGTGTGTGTGTGTGTGTGTGTGTGTGTGTGTGTGTGTGTGTGTGTGTGTGTGTGTGTGTGTGTGTGTGTGTGCGTGTGCAGCACTGAAGATCCACGTGTCGGCGGCGACTCACGACATCTTGCAGGAGTTTAACTGCTTCCAGCTGGAGAGGAGAAGAGAGATCGACGTGAAGGGCAAAGGGAAGATGACCACCTATTGGCTCCTGGGCGAGAGCAACAGCCAATGAAAAGACAGCTTCCAGGGGACAGAGAGGAGGGGACAGTGGGACTCCAACAAACTAGAGAGTAGGGCGCGCTGACAGAGGAGACCCTTCTGAGACCTGTGCAAAGACATCAATAATAAGTTGATACCGTGTGCTGCAGGTCTCATGTGTTGTTTGTACGAGTTAGGGTGGGTTTACGGTTGATTTGAAGGTTGTACGTCTAAGGTTCGGAGCTCCACTGCTGACAGGCTGTGCTCGGCTCTTTAACAGAGGTTCAGGAAGTTAACCAGACGTAGATTAGAAAAAACAAACCGTTACAGTGTGTTTGGAATGGAGAACGGGAAGGAGAGAAAGAAAATGAAGGAGTGGAAAGACAGAAGACAAATGCCCAGTCCTCGTCCTCCTGTCAGAGGACATTCAGATGGATTCAGACTGGAGGAAGATGCTGCTGCACTCACGACGTACATGTGTGAACAACGTAAAGGGAGGGAGAGTGCGAGGACAGAGGAAACACTTCTGAAACCTGTGCAGGAACAGGATGTAAAGGAAGGAGCAGAGACATGCAAAGAGACAACAATACTAACTTCATATGGTGTGCTTCAGGTCTCATGTGTTGTTTGTACCAGTTAAGGTGGCTTTACGGTTGATTTGCAGGTTGTGAAGAAGGCAGGAAGAGACGTCCCCGGTCCTCGTCCTCCGGTCAGAAGACTTTTTCATTTCTGATGGATTCAGACTTGAGGAAAATGCTGCTGCACTCACGACGAACCTGCACAAAGAAAACCTGCACAAACTAGAGAGGCGCGCTGACAGAGGAGACCCTTCTGAGACCTGCACAAACTAGAGAGGCGCGCTGACAGAGGAGACCCTTCTGAGACCTGCACAAACTAGAGAGGCGCGCTGACAGAGGAGACCCTTCTGAGACCTGTACAAACTAGAGAGGCGCGCTGACAGAGGAGACCCTTCTGAGACCTGTGCAAACTAGAGAGGTGCGCTGACAGAGGAGACCCTTCTGAGACCTGCACAAACTAGAGAGGCGCTCTGACAGAGGAGACCCTTCTGAGACCTGCACAAACTAGAGAGGCACGCTGACAGAGGAGACCCTTCTGAGACCTGTGCAAAGACATCAATAATAACTTGATATCGTGTGCTGCAGGTCTCATGTGTTGTTTGTACGAGTTAGGGTGGGTTTACGGTTGATTTGAAGGTTGTACGTCAACAGTTCTGCTGTCAGTTACTTAAAAATAAATACACATATTCTTTAAAAAAAAAAAGTGTTCATACTAGATAACACATAAGCCCACACCAAAGTGTATTAATAGATGAACTGGTGATGACATTTTAAACAATATTCTTCTACAGTTCACCAGCGAGAACACTTCCTCAGATGAATACTCACTGGTTGGTTTATTGAAGGATGGTTTGGTTCGTTAGATTAGAGATCAGCCTTTTGTTTCACACAGTGGATGAAACAGCTGTTTAGTGACTAGTTCTGTGATCAACTGAAGCAGGGCTCATTCATTAGTCATTCAATCATCCACAAACACCTCGCTAAAGATGCTCAATGAGGCCCAGCTTTGCAGAACATCAGTAAACAGGATTATATCTCGGTGACCGTTCTCTGTAAGTGTTTCCTTTTTGGTTTTTCAATTAAAAAATGCAATAACATGAAGTGTTTTAGTATTATTGTGTCGGGAAAACGTCAGCAGTGCAGACTGTAGAGGATAAAAACCTGTGGCAGTTATTAGACCAGTGGCGTAGGCAGAAATCAAAGAGTGGGTGGGCCAAAAAAAAATCAGGTGGGCCCAGCCCGTTCAAGACCAAACATACTTAAACTCCCATGTTATGCTTTTCCGGTTATTACCCGTCCCCTTGTGTGTTATGAAGGTTTTTATGCATGTAAACGGTGTGCAGAGTCAAAACCCTCAAAGTACACCCTGTACCTCCCCAAAACGCCTCGTTGGAGATACGTCACTGCCCATTTGAGTCTTCCATTTAGTTCCGGGTACGGCCTGATGTCATGCAGTACCCGGAACGAAATGGACCAATCCCGAAGAGCTATGGCCACACCCAGCGGCGCTGGCCGCACCCTCTGCCAGCCTAACATTTACTGTTGGAAGCTCTGGTTCAGTTCACAATCGATCCAGTCATGCCACTGCCAAGGACCTGTTTCCTGAAATGTGAGGAGAAATCTGAGCTGTTTGTCCTACCGACGGAAGAACCACGACGAAGTCAGTGGTTGAAATTTATTTTTAACACTGTTCCTCCAGAGGTTCGAAGAACCGGCATTTCACAGACGAAAGCTTCCAAAACATTGCCCAGTTTGAGGCCGGATATGCACAGCTTGTTTGGACCGTTTGGAGCAGGGGAAGATTCGGGTACACAACCTGTAAGTTTGCATTGTTATTTGTGTATTTATCAAACAAGGTATCTACCACGACTGTTTAAATGTGTAAACATGTTTCGGACTGCTAAGCCAGTGCTAACTGTGCTAACTAAGTTGCTAGCGTTTCCATATATCAACTCCAATATTAGCAGATCGCCTTACATACATGTTCCTCATAGCTGGATAATGTCTGCATTCACACACGAAATAGTCATAGACCGTATACTCCTGGTGATTTACCGTTCGGTCAGTCGCGAAACGTAATTACATTATAGCTGGTGTATGGTATGCTACCGATCTAACCGACGGAGCTAGACCTTAGTTTGGTCGGAAAAACATTTTTGTTATGCTACGTTGCTAGCGTTTAAATATATCAACTACAATGTCAGCAGATGGCCTTACATGTTTGTCATGGCAGGAGAATGTCTGGAGTCACACACACGGAATACTCATACAGTATACTCCGGGTGATTTACCGTACATTGTGACAGTACATGTACATACTGCATGTATAGCTAACGAGGCTAGCTGTATGCTAGCGCAAAACAATGTATTCATGCAAGTTACAATGTATGACCGAACGTAGCAGAATACCCGTATAATATTGCAATTATAAACACGTTATTGCTAGCCTAATATGAACCACTAGCTTTTGTTCATAGTAGTTTCATTACACTCCATTATAGTTGCCGTTCCTCCAAGCTAACGTTCATATCGTGTTAGCTACCAAGGTAAACAAAGCTAGGTTAGCTCTCTTTGCCCGCTCACAGACCCCCAACGGACGGCCTAGAGACCTCCAAGAGGTGTCCCTGAAATGGGGACTCTGCTGGAAGTGTGAAATAAACAGAGACAACGGGGAAATCCCCTCTCTTTGCCCGCTCACAGACCCCCAAAGGACGGTACATTACAGTTGGCTTTCCTCCGACGCTGATAGCATGTATAGCTAACGAGGCTAGCTATACATGCTAGCGGGAAACATTGTATGACCGAACGTAGCAGACTACCCGTAGAATAATGCAATTATAAACATGTTATTGCTAGCCTAATATGAACCACTAACTTTTGTTCATAGTAGTTTTATTACACTCCATTATAGTTGCCGTTCCTCCAAGCTAACGTTCATATCGTGTTAGCTACCAAGGTAAACAAAGCTAGGTTAGCATATTAGCAGGCAAGCTGTTCATTAGATAGATCCACACTCCTACCACAACTACTACTAACGAATCTAAAACAACTAAGTTTCTCTAATATTTTGTGATTTGCATTTTATTTCGTCCAGCCAGATCCTGTCGGACAATACATGACTGGACGACCACACTGAGGCATCGTCTCAAAAAGCCCCGGCTGCTATAAGCAAGATGCCGACAACGGGGAGTAATTGACGATATACCGTGTATATATGTATATTTACGTTCATTTTGTACATTTCTAAAAATAAAGTTTAATGGAAATACTTAGTAGGCCTATCCTTTCTTCCCTGAATTATTTGCTCCTATAACATATCATTCATATATAGCAAACCATGATTTGATTTCTCATCAAACAGTAGTAGTTTATAACGGGTAAAAATAACTTACTCTTTGTTATGACCGGCTCGTAGGCCACAACGGAAAGACAAGGAGACATACACGAGTTTACAAAACCACGGCACATTTATTGTGGTAAATGCAGAGATAGGTGGTCAGGGGAGAGGATCGCTGAGCTGCTTGGAGGGAGAGAGGGGCTGCCGTTTGACTCCGGGCAGCTGGCTAGCACCTCGGCTCCGGCCAGGTGTCCGTGATCGCGCTGATTAGCCTCTTCAGCTCCACCCCATCGTAAGACAAAGGCCCTGGGGCCGTCACACTCTCCTATAACAACAGTTGTAGCTACAGTTCGGTTAGTTGGCGTATAAAATATACGGCTGTACCGACGCCATGATAAGACTGATGTTCGGCTGAGAGCAGCCGTTTAGACATGGGCGCAGCCTCTCTGGTGGTTGACTAATCAGAACAGAGTGGCCGAGCTGACCAATCGGAGCACACTAGGCTCACAGGGAGGGGGGGGCAAGAGCTCCAACGAGTCGTTTAGTGGAGAGAGTGAATATTGCTGAATACACATGCTTGACAGAGATGCTGTATGCGAAACCAATGTGAGTTTGGAAAATTGCACAGTATAAATCTATTTTAGTATACCTCAACAATGTAATTATGATCAGTGGAAATGGCCATGACATGGGCCCTTTAATATGTCCTAAAACGCATTTTAACTGAAATAAGCCACCATTAAGCCAACTATACTTGGCTGATTGCAGAAAAGGTTATTCAGACGGACACATATATATTAGAAGTCATGTTACAGGCACACAACACCAGCACAGTAGCCTATAACATGACACGGCTGCCGCTGCACAAACACACAGCTGCCAACAGCTGCACAGCAAACACATGCACAGCATCAACAATAAAGCATGGATACAGAGCGGTGCGGACATACTCATTCTGGAACGGCGGCCACATAAACATACACTGGCGCGCACGCACAACAAACCAAAAAACAATAACTAATTAATAATTATTTATTTGTTTGTTTATTTATCTGTTTATTTATTAGTTTTGTTATGTTTTTGTTTTGTTTGTTTGTTTTTCATTAACACAAAAATAACAAGAAAAAAACAAAAATATATATGTTAAAAATTTAGTTTTTGGGAGAAAGGGTGGGATTAAATACATTTCAACTTCTTCATATGGACC